TATAGAGAACTTTTGGTAATATCGCCATTTTGATGATGTTAGTTCTGCCTATCCATGAACAGGGTATATTTTTCCATCTTCTAAGATCTTCTTCTACTTCTCTCTTTAGGGTTCTGTAGTTTTTATTGTATAAATCTTTCACCCCCCTCCACAGTTGTGGTGCTGGGGATTGAATTCAATGCCTCAAGTGCAATACTACTGAGCTACATCCCAGTCAATAATCTTTTTAAAATACAATTTATAACATTACTACTACAAGTAATAATGAAAATCACCCACCTGCTAAACACATGAGATCTCCAAATAACATATTATAGCTTAATATTTTAAGTGTCATTCTGAATAATTATGAAATACTATCCTTATTTTCTTAATTTCTGATTTTTTTAAATATTTTTTTAGTTGTAAATAGACACAATATCTTTATTTATTTATTTTTATGTGGTGCTGGGAATTGAACCCAGGGTCTCACGCATGCAAGGCAAGCACTCTACCACTAAGCTACAACCCCAGCCCTAATTTCTGATTTTTAAACTCAGTTCTTCAAAACATGACTTTCACATTTACTGAAAGTTAACAGTGACTATATATAAAATTACAATATTTCCTTTATGGATCAAATAATTTCAGCTTTTCTTCTCTCAATGATTTATACTACTTCTCAGAAACCCTACAAAGTTAATAAGAGCTTTCAAAACAGAATAAGGGATGAAGTTGGACAAAAACAGAGGTTAAACACCTCTAATMCAAAAATTCCAAATCTAAAATGCTCCAAAAATTAGAGTTCCAGGTTTGTTGCATTTTATATTTTGGATATGGGATTTTCAAACTTGTGGTATTCACCTGATAAAGTCTGCAAATATTCCAAAATCTAAGAAATTCTGAGATCTGAAATACTTCTGGTTCCAAAGCATTTAAGATAAGAGATACTTAATTTGAAATATATTCACCTCAAAGAAAATCTCTTACATTTAAAAGGAGGTCCATTAGATAGTACAACAGGATGAAAAAAGCTTATAAGGAGGTCCATAAGAAAAACAACAGGATGAAAAATAGTTTAAAACATTTCAGCTTTTCTTAAATTAGGTTACTATAATTCCATTATACCATGGCATGAATTACAAGACAAATATACCACATATATTCACCAAGAAAAATGTACAGTAAATTTGAATGTTTTAGGGAGATAAATTGATATTTTAGATGATCAATGTACCTATTTCCCTCTGTTATAAGTAAACATTAACATACTCCAAAATCGGACAATGATTACAGTTTCTTCTTCTACCCTTGAAGGGAAAAGGGATAATGCTGAAAGATTTTCAATTGACTGTTTCAAAAAAAAGAGTTATTTCACTTAATAGAATGGCAATGTAAACATATAGAGCCCAAACAAATATTCTCATTGCTACACGGTGCTTTATCTCCCCACTTCAATTTTTTGGTCAAGTTTTTGGCTTACAGACAGTTGGACATAAGACTAAAGGGGCTGGATATGTAGGTCAGTGTCCAACACTTGCCTAGCATGAGCAAGGCCCTTGGTTTGATTCCCAGGACTGCAAAAAAATTTAAAACATAAGAATGATATATGTTTCTTCTACCTTTTCTATAATTAGAAAGCTATAACTATCCTGCCATCCATTCTCATTCTATCTAAGCTTTCTTCATATTCAAGCATCTTTGCATGACTATAGCAAAAATATTTTAAAAGTTTTAATAAAGAGAGCTTTTTAAACCTTTTATTTTTTAAAATACATGTATAGTTAACACAAATGTTTTCAAATAGGTGTATCTCTACAATTCCTTATGTACACAAATTGGATAAAATAATGACAAAAAATTCAACAATTTTGGATGTGTTTGGTTTATCAGTTATAACTAAAGGACTTAACTAGAAAAACCTGATGAAATTACTGATACAGTGTCAAGTCACTTCAAAGCAAAATTRTTTGGGGAAGGAGACAGAGAAGTATTTGTATGAAGATATACATGAGAGGAAGCACAAACTGTCTAATTTTCCACTAAAGCCCTTTATAGCTCTTCAGCCTCCCTCCTACCACTCTCTGCCTTATTCTTTATGATGCTTCTTGCTTTTGCTTATCTTCTTCCATCTTTCTTCATTTAAACACTTGGAAAATCCCTCCATTAAGTCTTGCAAAATCCCCAGGTCACTAAAGCATTCTATGTCTATTTTCTTATTATTCAACTTATCAGTCAGATTATATGTCTCCCATCACATTCATAGTTGCTTGGTAACAGGTACTGTTTCTCATTTAATCTTTTTAATCCTGGCACATTACCTAACATCCAAGGGGCAAGCAATAAATATGTGTTGTTGAATTAAAGAATATAATCATATGTCCTTTATTACTATTAATTCAGTAATCAAACTTTTTACAGATAAGTCAAAGGCAACTAACTTGAAAGCTAGTGTTACAAAACTATTATAAATTTCTAATTGGGGGCTGGGGATGTGGCTCAAGCGGTAGCGCGCTCGCCTGGCATGCGTGCGACCCGGGTTCGATCCTCAGCACCACATACCAACAAAGATGTTGTGTCCGCCGAGAACTAGAAAATAAATATTAAAAAAAATTCTCTCTCTCTCTCCTCTCTCACTCTCTCTTTAGAAAAAAAAATAAATTTCTAATTGAGCTTAAATTAATGTGGGGTTTAACTTCTATCCTTTTACCTATTGCATTATGTACCTTCTCTATATATACAGGATAAGTATCCCTTATCTGAAATACTTGAGAAAGYATTGTTTTGAAGTTGTTGTGTTTTTTTGTTTTTTGTTTTTTTGTTTTGTTTTCTGTTTTTAATTTTGGAGTATTTGCAGACTTTCCACCTGAATATCCCTAATCCAAAAATCTATCCCTAGATTTGGGATTCAGATTAGGAATGTTCAACCTGTATTATAAAACAATATAACCCTCAATAAAGATCTCTCAGGGGCTGGGGCCRTGGCTTAGTGATAGAGCACTTGCCTGGCACATGTGAGGGACCACATTCAATCCTCAGCACCACATAAAAGTAAAATAAAGCTACTGTGTTTTATATAACTTTTTTAAAAAATCTCCTTAGTGACTGGGGTTGTAGCTCAGTGGTAGAGTGCTCGCCTAGCATGCAAGAGGCACTGGGTGTTCAATCCTCAGCACCACATAAATGTAAAATGAAGATATTGTATCCACCTATAACTTAAGAAAAAATATTTTTTTTAAAAAAAGATCTCCTTAGTACAGAAATCATTCTAATACATTATATAGTTGTTCTTCAGCATTTGTGGGAGATTGGTTCCTTTACTCCTACAGATATAGAATAGCAAAATCCTCAGGTGTTCAARTCCCTTACACAAAATGAAACTGTATTTATATAAAACCTATACATATAGTCTCATATATTTTAAGTCCTCTATATATTACTTATAATACTTAAAGTCAATGCTATGTTACACTTTATTGTTTAGGGAATAATGACAAGGAAAAGACACAATTTTTTTTTCACTCTGACTAGTTTAAATTCAGTTCGTTGAAGCACATAAATGTAGAAGGTAAACTATATTTTATTTAATGTAGTTATACACATGCAAAACTAGATGCAAAATTCACTAAAATAAGTTTTATAATGGAAGACAATTCAATTTGCAAAAATGGTATGAAATTTATTTTCTTCCAACCTACCCGAAAATTATCTGGGGAGCTCAAATGAAGTTTTTCCCTAATGTCTTCAGAGGCACCAGCACACAATCTATAAAAGATATGATAATTCCTTTCCTCTTTGCCTTGAACACAGATCCTAGATTTCTCTAGAAGATAATGTGAAACAAATCCTCCAACAACTGAACTCTAAAAAACAAAAGACAGAAAATACATTTTTTTCATTTAAAGTCTTAAACTATAATTTAACAAGGTTAAATCAATCTTTTCTAATAAACATTTGTCTATCAAAGGGTATAATATGCATCAAATACAAGGAGAAAACAAATAACTAAATGTAAGCTTAGAATATCTGTGGAGGTCATTGTTCATTTTAAACATCTCCATTAAGTCTTTTCCCAGACCTTTCTAAATTTTGAGCCTCTATAGAGTCAGAATTGACTGTGCCTTGTACCTCAATAGAAGAAATGGAAGATAGGAGTCCGAGATTCCAAACATGAAGAATTCTTAAGGAGATGAAAATACTAATTACCCTAATTTGATCAGTGCACACTGTACAGATGTTGAAATATCACTGTACCTCATAGATAGGTACAATTACTACATGTTAAAGCAACAACAAAAGAATAAATTATCAGGGGGGGAATACTAAATATGAAATTATGTTTGATGATGAAAATCCAATGTTTACATTATAAATCTGAAAAGAGCTTTTGGATAGTCACAGTGAATCTATGTGTTTTCCTAGCTGAAGTAACAAAGAAACTTACAGGGTAAGTGCAAGTACAGCACTAATTCTTCACAAAACCTTGTATTTTTCACAAATATTCCCCAAACATATTATCCCAAAAGTCACTTTCACTTACCTTTTCATTGAAATGTATTTCTACAAATTTTCCAAATCGACTGCTATTATTATTTCGAACAGTCTTTGCATTTCCAAAGGCTTCTAAAAGAGGATTAGCTATTGAGAAATAAAATGACATATCCCATCAAAAAATGAGYATGAAGAAAAGCTACAAAACAATATGCACAGTATGTCTCTTTAGAAAAAGTACAAGAGAAAATCCTCTCAGAAATATTAACATGGAGGAATTACCAGGTAATGTCAAATTCCACAAATATTTAATGATCATTCAACCCACTATGTTCAGATATTACTCAAGTGCATAAGATAGAAAATTTCTCAAAGTACATAAAAAGAAAATATCAATGTTATGGGAAAGACTAAATTTCAAAGTTACTAAGATAAAATTACAAGTCAACTTTAAAAATTACCCCTAAAATGTTCAAGGTTTAACAAGTACTTCAGCCCCGCAAGAGATTTTATTATAACAGCTAAAGAGCAAAGATTTTCAGTTTAACAAGTACTTCAGCACCACAAGAGATTTTATTATAACAGATAGAGAGCAAAGCTCTTGTGACAAAATAATAGGCAAGAAGTTATTACTTGACTTACACTTCTAAAATATTTTATATATTATTATTACTTGTAAGTTAAAAATTTGACATAAAGGGCTAGGGCTACAGCTCAGTGGCAGAGCACTTGCCTAGCATGTGCGAGGCACTGGGTTCCATCCTCAGCACAGCATTAAAAAATAAACAAATAAAATAAAGGCATGCTGACATCTACAACTACAAAWTTTTTTATTTTTTTACATGCATATCCAACAGAATTTAACAAATTAAAMAGAGACTTTTGGGCTGGGRTTGTGGCTCAGTGGTAGGGCACTTGCCCTGCATGTGTGAGGCGCTGGGTTTGATTGTCAACACCGTCCGTCAACAATTAAATATATACGTATATTTTTTAAAAAGAGACTTTACAGTAAAAAAAGACTTTACAAAATTACATAAGAAAGGCTTTCAGGGGACTGGGGATGTGGCTCAAGTGGTAGCACGCTTGCCTAGCATGCATGAGGCCCTGGGTTTGATTCTCAGTACCACATAAAAAAAATAAATAAAATAAAGATATTGTGTCTACCTAAAACTAAAAAATAAATATTTTTTTAAAAAGGCTTTCAGAATAATAGTTTTTAAAATCCTTATAAACATATGGAACATTTTATAATCATACACACCCATATAATGAGTAATAGAATCTATTCTTGCATTCATCAGTATCTCCATTATAAACACACCAGATTAGTATTAATCTTACATATTTTTATCAACAACCTCAAATTGCTTCATAATATTTGTTAGAATATTTCTTATGAAGTCTTTCAAAGTTCATTTTCTTATTTTGACCAGCAGAAAGCAAAACTAGCCTCCAAACCCTTTTAAAGATCATTCCCTAGCCATTTCACTTCCCAAAATAAATAGAAAAACACTAAAACTAAAAGAAATATTAACATATATCCTCACTTTTCAGAAAGGCAAGAGAACTGAGGCCAACAAGGCCAACCAACTCTCAAAAGGTCAGATGACTGGCAATTGACAAGGGGGATTCGACTACAGGTCTCCCCAACTCCTTTACTAATGATCTACTAAAAACTTAAAGTAAATCTTAACATAAATAAAATATCTCCAAACAGGGTAAAAACCCCTCCATCAGAAAATTATATTTATGCTACTAATAATATATTCATTCCCAAACCAACAACCAAATTTCCATTAAAGAAGGCATCAAAGCTTTCTATGATCACCCAGTTACAATATTATCTTCCATTTTGTAATAGCAGTTCCCAATTTTTCTCAACAACATACAACATACTACATAGTATATTACCATGAGAAAAACCTGGGCTTATATCYAATTTTCAAGTAGGTCTGCATCTCAAGTGAATAATTAATTTAACTCAATAATTAGTTTTTTATTGAGTTAATCCATGATTTGTTCTTTATTTATTCAACTTTTTAAAGGTAATACTTACCAAGAAGGGAGAAATGACAAAAGGGAAAGGAGAAAGTATTGAGAAAGCCCTAAAACACCTCAAAGACCTACAAGAAGACCCACATGACTAAGGCAAAAGGAGTCAAGACTCAATATGAGGCCAGAGGGTTAAGAGCCAGGCAACACAGCACAGTAGGAGATACTAGAGCTTTAGAGTGTCATCATGAGAATAATATAAAGCTGTTACAAGATTTAAAGGTTCCTCCTGCTACCATACAGGGACTAGATTAAGAAGAAGGAGGAATGTTAAGTGAGGAGACCAAACAGGATTCACAGTGCAGGCGCTGGGTACAGATTCAAAACGATGGTGGCCTAGACCAAGTCTCAAAATTGAGGCACAAGAGGCATTCTAAGGAGTATGCAAACATGGACAGCTTAAGGAAATCAGTCCACACACTTGTCATCTTTTTTTTTTAATATTTTGTTTTAGTTGTAGTTGGACACAATACCTTTATTTTTTATTTTATTTAATTTATTTAATTTTTTTATGTGGTGCTGAGGATCGAACCCAGTGCCCTGCACATGCCAGGCAAGCGCTCTACCGCTGAGCCACAACCCAGAGGCCCCCACTCTTGTCTTCTAAGAGAATGCTTTCATTATAATAATTTTCCTCAAAAAAGTGCCCTAAAAACAGATAACTTTTCTTCTCTTCTTTATAGAAAAACAAGGTCAAGAAAACAAACAGGAAGCCAGAGTTCCCTCTATTTCTTACATTCATTTGCCAATATTTATACTATGTGCCAAGTACTATTCTAGGAGTTTATAAAGTAAAAGAAATCTCTGCCTTCTTAGTGCTTAATGTGGGATACGGACATAGGAAGAGACAATAAACATTAAGTCAATGAGAATATGACATATGAGTAAAGATCTGTTGGAGATGAGAGTTTTTTGCATCTCTGGGAAAAGAACATTCCAAACCATTGAAAGGATTCTAATAAGTTAATTTTAGTAAATGCTTAACAACAGAAAAATTAACAATACCTTCAACAATTCTTTCATCAATATCTTGACCTGTTCCATAGGATTCAGTCAGGTATCTATTTACAATATAGAATACAAAATTTAGATGATAATAATATTGCATATGATATATTTATAAATTCACTATTATTTATACATGTAACTGAAACCTGAATCATCATTACAAGTTTTAAAAATTATAAATTTATGCTCAAATGCAACCATTTTTCTTTGGGGGGGATGTGGGTATTGGGGATTGAACTCAGGAACACTAGACCACTGAGCCAAATTCCCAGTCCTAGTTTGTATTTTATTTAGAGATAGGATCTTGCTGAGTTGCTTAGCACTTTACTTTTGCTGAGTCTGGCTTTGAATTCACAATCCTCCTGTCTCAGCTTCCTGAGTCACTGGGATTACAGATGTGCACCACCCCRCCTGTCGCAACCATGTTTTTACAGCTTCAAATTTATTTAAAATTTGATTTGGATTGCCTTGAATGTTTAAACCAGCGTTATTTTTTAAGCTGTTTTTAGAAATATTCTGATTTTAATCAACCACTTGATTTAAATATATAACATATTTCATATGGCAATTTCATCAACAACATGAGATTCACAGCCTTTTGTTACTGCCTATTAATTCAACATTATGGCTACAGAAAATAAGGAATCTGCAGCTGAACAAGGCAAAGTTCTCAATCTTTGAGCTATTACATGAAAAGAAGACATAATGAAACAACTATTTACTTAGCACCTTTCCAAACAAAGAGCAATCCTTATTTACAGTGTAAGTATACATTATAAGTATGGTTCCTTAGCTTTTTGTTTATTTTCCTACATTAACCATAGACCCACCATATGACTATCATAGTCAGGAGAGAAAGAATAAGAAATTGAACCACTTCCAAGAGTATAGAGAAGCATTTATTTAATGAGAATGGCATATCTATAACAGGCATTAACAAATTCTTCAACTTGTTTTACATAAATAATTCTGAGAAGCATACACATTTACAGAGAATAATACATAATACAGCAGGAACAATACTAGTGAATATGCTGGTCCTAGCAGTAAGATCATGATTAGATTTAACTTCGAGGTATGTAAATTAAAAGAACTAACTAAAATAAATGCTAGGGTTCCTTCTATTTTTAAAATGCTATGATTCTAAACAAAGTGTTTGGAGTTAAATTTGATGACAGCAAAGGGGATACACTGAAGAAAAAATTTGGGAAGTGGATATAAAAAGGTGAACATCATAAGCTTAAGGGAAAAAATGGTTTGAAGCACACTACTAGAGAAACACTGAGAAGAGAATGTCCACCTGGATTTTGGGTTTTGAAAGAACATTCCTAAATTTCCCTTTGCCTAACCAGCACTGGTTCTCCCAGGACACTCATACAAATAACATCAGAGCTGGCTTTCAATAATCTATAGACTAGCTTCCATATAAGGTAATTGTATCTTAAAAATAATAGAGCCCACATTCCAAACTATGCCACAAAATATACAAAGGTGTTAAAAGTCAACCTGTTCAAATTCTCAAAGAAATATTTACTCATGCTCATAACGGTACCAAGGATGAAAAAAATTCAAGATCTCATCAACAAATGCATGCATAAATAAAATGTATCCCTACACTGGAATATTACTCAGCCTTTAAAAGGAAGGAGATTCTAACACATAATACAACATGGGGTTTGGGGGGTTTTCTATCTTTTTAAAGAGACAGGGTCTTGGTTTGGAGATTCCACTTGGTGGTAAGGCACCTGCTCAGCATGTGCAAGGCCCTGGGTTCCATCCAAAACGCCACCAAAAACAAATAGATAAATAAAAAGAAAATGCAAGGTCTTGCTAAGTTTCCCAGGCTTRTCCCAAACTTCTAGGTTCAGTCTCCCACAATCTGGGACTACTGGAACACCAGCCTAAACACAGGTAWATCTTAAATTGAGCAAAATGAAATAAGTCAGTAACACAAAGATAAACACTGTATTGATTCCACTTATATGTGGTATCTAAAGTAAGGTAAATTTATAGAATCCAAATGTAAAATAGCAGCTGCCAGAAGGTGAGGATAGTGGGAAACACAGGATTTTTTAATGGGTATATAGTTTCAGTTTTTCAAAATGAAAACTTCTGAAGATTGTATGCACAACAATGTGAGTACACTAAACATCAGAAATGGTTAAGTCGGCAGATTCTATGTGTTTTTTACCACCAAAATAGTGTCAATCTGTTAAAAATATTTCAGGTTAGCTAACTACTTACCTGAGAACAAATTTTGTATTTTCTGTTTTGCCAGCTCCTGATTCTCCAGATACAATGACAGACTGGCTTATCTTGAGTACCTTCATGTCTCGAAAAGCCTTATCAGCTAGGGTCAAAATAATACATAAATGGTGAACAATACACTAAATATAGTTATTAAATGATAAAAGTTCACTTCAGAAGCATTTGCTCCTAAAGAAATCATAAATTAACAGTTAATGAAATTTTTTAGCACTCAAAAGTGTTAAAATAACATCTCCAAAAATATTTACTTTCAACACTCTTTTTTWAACAATTTTTATGTCAATTTTATTGAGGTACAATTAGCATATAGTAAGACTTACCAATTTTTTGTGTGTGTATGTGGTGCGAGGGATTGAACCCAGGGCCTTGTGCATACGAGGCAAGCACTCTACTAACTGAGCTATATCCCCAGCCCTCTTTCAACACTCTTATTACCCTAACAGCTAAATAACATGAAATCCAAATAAACAACTCTTAAGTTCATGCTTTAATATCTACATATTACAAATTGTGACTCTTTTCTCCCTAATCCACAGCAGATCTGCAAAGGGATTTAAAAAAAAAAAAAGTTTACTATGCATAACTAATGAAGCCCTCAGAGAGAAGCAGAAGTAAGAAGCTTCTAATTAAGAAATATGGCAACCAAAATTTTTGCTGGAAATAAAAAACACATAATTACAAAAGAAATATATAAGATTCCCTGTAATACTCCTATGAATTTAAACATCTTATACAATTTGCAGCCATTTCAAAGATAAGCAAACTGCTTTAAATTTTAAGACTTGCAATTGTTTATAATTTTTAACTATCTTCCTTACATTCCAACAATTTAAGCTATAAAATGTCTGAAATTTTAAAAGACTACACAGATTAAGCAGAATTTAATTATGTTAAATKGGTTTGAAATTAAAACAAGTTAAAATAGTTCCTGACCAATTTGGCTCAGAAAGACAATTTCTCACCTCAAACATGTGCTACCCATACCAATAAAGAAATCTTTATAAATGATTTAGACTCTAAGAACAGAATGTAAACCACATGCTATAGTTGGAATAGGTTTGGGTATCCCCTAAGGATTACTGTATTGAAGACTTGGACTGCAGGGTGGCATTGTTGGAGGTAGTGGAATCTTTTGGAGGTGAGGCCTGGTGGGAGGTTCCTTGGCTTGCTGGGGGTATGCTCTCAGAAGGTAGTTCTCCTAAAACCCTTTGAGTACTTAGAAGAGAGTTGTTATAAAAAAGTAAGCCATGGCCCTCCATTCTCTCTGCTTCTGGTTCAAGATGTAATCACTTGCTTGCTCTTGCCATTSCTATCTGCCATGATATAATGCAGCCAAGGGGCAGTTACACCACARAGACTGCACTAACTATGCTATTTGTGAACCTTCAAAACTGTGAGCTAAAYAAACTTCTTCATAAGCAGCCTGTTCCAGGCACTTTGTTATATTGATGTAAAGCTGACTAATAAGCAATATGCAAAAGTACACCCATTCCTTTGTTCAATTTATCAACAACCTGTTCCACCCACTTTTATAAAATCATTTTAAATACTTTATTATACTTTATCTTAAGCAATAAAAGACTAAAAATAAAATAGTTTGTCTACACTTTGTAACTTCTCTCCAGTGATGAGCTCACACATATTCAGGATCTAAGGGTTGTGTACCATTTTGCAGGCTGATAAAAGAATATACAAATGTTCACAAATTGTCTTAGACTAAAAGTAAATCTGCTGATACACTGGACTTGGCTGATGCATTTATTCTGCCTAGTAATACAGGGCAYACACATCAACCACCCATCAATCTCAAAGTGAAGCCTGGTTAGTCCAAAACACAAGTATAATAGGAAAACCCAAAGAGAAACTGCACTAAGAACCAGCATCAAAACATGGCATTCATCTGCTGGTTGTGTGTGGAAGCAAAGCAGTGAGGTAACATCTCTGACTTGTCARGGAAAAGGATAGAAAGTAATTTCTAACTCTGACCAAATAACTCYATTTCTCCATGCCTCAGACCTAGAGAGCCTCAAGAAGAGAGGCTGAGAAAGGCCAAGACAGATTGCACTATTTTTGTACACAGATTCCCCAGTATGTACCACTTTCAATTATTTAATTTTATAAAGCCCTGATGCAAAATACTGCATGAAGGAAGCCTGCTCTTCCATCTCAAACATGGCCCAAGTAACACACTCACAGGCAATGACCTGGGTAAGAGAGGAAGGCCTGGGCCTCAAGGCTGCAAAGGAGGATACTTCTTTAAAAAATATTTTTTTAGTTGTAGGTGGACACATTATCTTTATTTAATTTATTTATTTTTTATGTGGTGCCTCAGGCATGCTAGGCACGTGCTCTGCCATTCAGTTATAGCCCCAGCCCCTAAAGGAGGATACTTTTAAGATAGAGCTGATCATACTGAGGAAACAAAATACTGCTTTTATTATGACAGAAACACCTAAGAGGACACAGGCATCCAACAAAGTTGATGATGTATGACTGCTCCATGAGTTGGCTGCAAAAGTATTCTTCCCCACCCTGTGTACAGGATACCTGCTCCTAACCAGGCTGACACATCCAAAAAACAAAATATATATTCAAAAAATAAATATTCAGCTCATGGTATCTTCTATTAATCCAAGAGAAAAACTATATAAATTTGTATGATATAAAAAAAGACAGGTATTAAAATACAAGCAAAGCACTTACCAATTGCAAAGACATGGGGTGGCATTGTCCCAAGAGATTTTCCTTGATATGATTTTATTGTATCTGAAGAATATATTTTAGGGATATCAAAGTATGGGTTTACTGCAATCAGAATGTTGGCGACATATGTCTAAATAAGAAAAGTATAAAATGAAATTTTCCAGTTAACTTTTTCATTCAAAGCTGAACAAGACTCATAGGAGAAAAAAATTATACAGCAAATAGATACCTCCAATTCTCTACATAATCAGGACTTTAATATTTGCATTTCTAACAGTAAATATTCCCTGATTTCTAGAGAATCCATCACTTACAAAACTATTTTTTGTGATATAATTTTATGTACTGCATGTAACTTTATTTACATATAAATATATAGCTTTATTATAGATTATTGCTATTTTGCCTTTGTTATTCAGTCAGGGTGTTATGTTCATTTTTGTTAAATCCATGTATGCTAATTATATTATCAATGATATTTATTTTAAGGTGGTTATTAAGTATGTAGCAAAAAAGGGTGCAACAGTTTTGATAAAATAGAAAAAGTTGGATTAAGTCATATCTAAGGTCACATACAATTTTAAACTTCTATTCCATCCTACTAAAGAAAGCCACAATCAACGATCTTCTCTCAAAAGTGGCTGCAGCCAAAAATCAAAATAAATTACACAATACTTTTTATTTAGTGTTATTGCTCACAGAACATACACTTTATGTTTCTGAAAATTCTCTAATTTTCATTTTTATTAAATTATTTATTTACCCTGATTTGTTATATATGATGGCAGAATGCAATTCATTTCATATTATACATATAGAGTACAATTTTTCAAGTCATGGTTGCACACAAAGTACATACATGTAATTAGGGTAATGATGCCTAACTTGTTCCACCATCTTTCTTATCCCCATGCCCCTTCCTTTCCCCTCCCTCCCCTTTGCCCTATCTAAAGTTCCTCCATTCCACCCCTGCTCCACCACCCCCATCATCATTATGAATCAGCATCTTCATATCAAAGAAAACATTCGGCCTTTGGTTTTTTGGGATTGGCTTACTTTACTTAGCATTACATTCTCCAACTCCATCCCTTTACCTGCAAATGTCATAATTTTATTCTCTTTTAATGCTGAGTAATATTCCATTGTGTATATATACCAAAGTTTCCCTATCCATTTATCTAATGAAGAGCATCTGGGTTGGTTCCACAATTTAGCTATTGTGAATTGTGCTCCTATACACATTGATGTGGCTGTGCCCCCTTATAGTATGCTGTTTTTAAGTCCTTTAGGTATAGACCAAGGAGCAGAATAGCTGGGTCAAATGGTGACTCCATTCCAAGTTTTCCAAGGAATCTCCACACTGCTTTCCAGATTGGCTGCACCAATTTGCAGTCCCACCAGCAATAAATAAGTGTGCCTTTTTCCCCATATCTTCACCAACACTTATTGTTGTTTGTATTCTTAATAGATGCCATTCTGACTGGAGTGAGATGAAATCTTAGAGTAGCTTTTTTTATTTTTTTATTCTAATTTGTTATATATGGTGGCAGAATGCATTATAATTCACATTATATTCACAGAACACAATTTTTCATCTCTCTGCTTATATACAAAGTATATTCACACCATTCCTGTCTTCTTCATATATGTACTTGGGGTAGTAATGTCCACCTCATTCCACCATCATTTTTTACCCACTTGCCCCCTCCCTCTTACTCCCTCCCCTTTTCCCTATCTACAGTTTGTCTAATATTCCCATGCTGCCCCTCCCAACCCCACTATGAATYGGCCTCCTTATATCAGAGAAAACATTCAGCATTTGGTTTTTGGGGATTGGCTTACTTCACTTAGTATTATAGTCTCCAAATTCATCCATTCACCTGCAAATGCTATGATTTTATTCTCTTTCATTGCTGAGTAATATTCCATTGTGTATATATACCACAATTTCTTTATCCATTCATCCACTGAAGGGCTAGGTCGGTTCCACAGTTTAGCTATTGTAAATGAATGTGCTGCTATAAATGTTCATGAGGCTGTGTATGCTGTTTTTAAGACCTTTGGGTATAGACCAAGGAGTGGGATAGCTGGGTCAAATGGTGGTTCCATTCCCAGTTTTCCAAGAAATCTCCATACTGCTTTCCATATTTTGGTGCACCATTTTGCAGTCCCACCAGCAATCTATGAGTGTGCCTTTTCCCCAACATCCTTGCCAACATTTATTGTTGTTTTCATTCTTAATAGCTGCCATTTTGACTGAGATGAAATCTTAGAGTACTTTTGATTTGCATCTAATTGCTAGAGATGTTGAACATTTTTTCATAATTTGTTGATTGATTGTATACCCCCTTCTGAGCAGTGTCTGATCAGTTCTTGGCCCATTTATTGATTGGGTTATTTGTTTTTGTTTTGGGTTTTTTTTTTTTGGTGTTAAGGTTTTTGAGTGCTTTATATATCCTAGAAATTATTATTCTATCTGTTGTGCTTGTGGTAAAGATTTGCTCCCATTCTGTAGGCTCTCTATTCACCTCACTGATTGTTTCTTTTACTGAGAAGCTTTTAGTTCGTATCCATCCCATTTATTGATTCTTGGTTTTAATTCTTGTGCTACAGGAGTCCTATTAAGGAAGTTGGGCCCTAATCTGACATGTTGTAGATTTGGGCCTACTTTTTATTCTATTAGACACAGAGTTTCTGGTTTAATTCCTAGGTCCTTGATCCACTTTGAGTAGAGTTTTGTGCATGGTGAGAGATAGAGGTTTAATTTCATTTTGTTCCATATAGACTTCCAGTTTTCCCAGTACCATTTGTCAAAGAGGCTTTCTCCAATGTATGTTTTTGGCACCTTGTCTAATATGAGATAACTGTAATTATGGGGGTTTGTCTCTGCATCCTCTACTCTGTACCATTGGTCTACCAGTCGATTTTGGTGCCAATACCAGGGTGTTTCTGTAACTATTGCTCTGTAGTATAATTTAAGGTTTGGAATAATAATGCCACCAGCTTCATTCTTCTTGCTAAGAATTGCTTTGACTATACTGCATCTCTTATTTTCCAGATGAATTTCATGATTGTTTTTTCTATTTCTATGAGGAATGTCATYCGGATTTTGATTGGAATTGCATTGAATCTGTATAGTGCTTTTGGTAGTATGTCATTTTGACAATATTAATTCTGCCTATCCAAGAACAAGGTAGATCTTTCCATCTTCTAAAGTCTTCTTTAATTTCTTTCTTCAGCATTCTCCAGTTTTCACTGTAAAGGTCTTTCACCTCTTTCATTAAGTTTATTCCCAAGTTTTRTTTGTTTGTTTGTTTGTTTTGAGGCACTTAAAAATGGGGTGGTTTTCCTGGTTTCTCTTTCTGAGGATTGTCACTAATGTATAAAAATGGCTTTGACTTATGGGTGTTGATTTTATATCCTGCTACTTTGCTGAATTCATTTATAAGTTCTAGAAGATTTCTGGTGGAATTTTTTGGGTCTTCTAGGTATAGAATCATATCGTCAGCAAATAGTGATAATTTGAGTTCCATCTCCGTTTAATTTCTTTCGTCTAATTGCTCTGGCTAGAGTTTCAAGAACTATGTTAAATAGAACTGGTGAAAGAGGATATCCCTGTCTTTTTCAAGTTTTTTAGAGAGAATGCTTTTCAATTTTTCTCCATTTAGAATGATGTTGGCCTGGGCTTAGCAACAGACAGCTTATACAATGTTGAGMTATGTTCCTGATATCCTAGTTTTTCTAATATTTTGAACATGAAGGGGTATTGTATTTTGTCAAATGCTTTTTCTGCTTCTATTGAGATGATCTTATGATTTTTATCTTTGAGTGTACTGTTGTGATGAATTACATTTATTGATTTCTGTATGTTGAACCAACCTTCCATTCCTGGGATGAACCCTACTTGATTGTGGTGCACTATCTTTTTGATATGTTTTTTGTATTCGATTTGCCAGAATTTTATTGAGAATTTTTGCATCTATGTTCATTAGAGATAGTGGTCTGAAGTTTTCTTTCTTTGATATGTCTTTGTCTGGGTTTGGAATCAGGTTGATATTGGCCTATAGAATGTGTTTGGAAGTTTTCCCTCTTTTTCTATATCATGAAATACTTTGAGAAGTATTGGTGTTAGTTCTTCTTTAAAGGTGTTATAGAACTAAGCTGTGTATCCATCTGGTCCTGGGCTTTTCTTCATTCTTAGGCTTCTGACGGTGTCCTCTATTTCCTTGCTTGAAATTTATCTGTTTAAATTGTGTATATAATCCTGATTTAGTGTGGGCATATCATATGCCTCTAGAAATYTGTCGATGCCTTCAATATTTTCTATTTTATTGGAGTACAAATTTTCAAAACAATTTCTAATTATCTTCTGTATTTCTGTAGTGTCCATTGTATTTACACAACTTTTTTTGTAGTTGTAGATGGACACAATTCCTTTATTTTTATTTATTTTTGTGTGGTGCTGAGGATCAAACCTAGGGCCTCACACATGCTAGGCAAGCACTCTACCACTGAGCTACAACTTCAACCCCTTACATAACTTTTACAAGATGAAGATAATACTTTTATCTTATCAATCACAAGCAACTCAGACTCAGCCCATCCAAAGTCATGATCACCTCTTCCCACCTCCCTCAGAAAAAATATTCTCCTCCCATATCCTCTCCCAGTACATGGATGGCATGACCACCAAGTCACCACAGACAGAAATCAGAGTCTCTAAGCCTCCTTCTCTATCAGGATGCTTCTGTTGGCTCTGTTTATGAAATCTACTCCCCTCATTCTGTCCCTACAGCAGAATTTTGGTTATTTATCATCTTATACAGCATACTTGATTTACCCTGCTACTGAAGATTTTAATATGCTCTGGGTCCACCCCCATCAGGGAATGCAAATAGTGATTTAGCTATGAGGTGACCTCTTGGTCCAGAGCTCTGTAAAACAATATATGTTAACCACTGCCTAGAACCCTGATGAAATAAACATTTAGTGAGCAATTTAAGCTTGTTTTTAAATTCTAAATTTAACTGTGGCTTTAAAAGATCAGAAAAAATGCACCGAAAGGGTTTATAATATTCCTAGTTGGGTAGATAGCTGTGGTTTAGTAATACTGAGAAAACCAGGGCACGCATGGCCATATTTCTTTCTTTTTCTCTCTCTCTCTCTCTCTCTCTCTCTCTCTCTCTCTCTCCCTCCCTCCCTCCCTCCCTCTCTCTCTCTCTCTCTCTCTGTGTGTGTGTGTGTATGTGTGTAATACTGAGTGTTGAACTCAGGGGCACTCTACCATTGAGCTATATCCCCAACATTTTTCTTTTGAGACAGGGTCATGCTACATTGTCCAGGATGGCCTAGAACTTGTGATCCCCTTGCCTCAGTTTCCTGCATAGCTAGGATTACAAACATGTGCCATTTTTTTCTCTTTTCTGCTTCTAGCTGTGGAAAAGAAATGCTATGAAAATGCTGGATTCTCAGAGTACTAATCTAAAATGCTCCATACATTCTCAAAGATGTTTCCTGGAATAATGTAAAAAATAAAAGAAATTCCAGATATTAATCTTTCTAAGGGAGAAAAGAGGAAAGGATCAGAAATTTTAGTAACCATAAACATGTTAAGCATGGGTTAGCTGTTATTTTACTCAMATTTAAGACAGGACAGTAATTATTTTTATCATTATGAAACATAAAATATCAAATTTAAACTACTACTCCAAATTGCTTCCTTCACTTATATATTTTATTGTAATTGCCCCCTTCATTTACATATATCATAGTAATAATAGCTATTTTATATAGTACAGATATTTAATGGTTTTATAACTAAAAGACATAATCAGCTGGGAAAAAACAGCAATCATGGCTTCAGTTAACCTTGAAAATACTGGTTCTAAAATTCTACTTTGAAACATGATAATTTGTTATATCCAAATTAACTTTCACTGATGTTATCACAAGTTAAATTTGCTTTAACAAATTTCAAAATACTGTATTATCTAAAACAGCATTTAGATTCTACTCATCATGAGGCTACTGATGAGTAAATTTTGCCTCTAAATATATTTCCACTCAAGAATACCCATGTTTAGGGCTAGGGTTGTAGCACAGTGGTAGAGGGCTTACCTAGCATGCATGAGGCACTGCGTTCAATCCCCAGTACCACATTAAAAAAAAAAAAAATAAAGGTATTGTGCCCATATACAACTAAAAATATTTTTTTTAAAGAATACCCATATTTAAACATAAATATACTCTTTAGTCAATTTTGAAAAATATCAAGAAAGTAAAGTCTTTAATATTACATATAACTGGAAGATGGCAAATAAACTCTTTTGAAATAGACTAGATTGATTCTATTACCCAGCTGTCACTACTTGGACAGATGGCAAAGACTATATGTAATTTAGTCAGAATTAAGTAAGTACAATTAGACAAATTGATAGTGATATAAAAGATTAAGACTGTCATTTGATCTAGTAAGTGTCAAGGAAGCCATGTGTTTTCTTCGTTCAAAAATAATGAAGAGCCCCATTCTTATAACAGGAGAACTACAATGGGGTAATTTATCTCTAGCCAACAAAAAAWCTATGAATAGGTTATATTACAATAAAATCCCATACATGCTCAAAGAATAATTATAATTAAAACACAGGAGTTAAGCATCCAACTGAAAGATTTGGTGTAAACTCTTGAACTATTATTATTTTTTTAATCATTAAAAGCATTACCTTTTTTTTTTCTTGTGGTACTGAGGATTAAACCCAGGGCCTCACACAAGGGAGGCAAGTGCTCTGTCACAGAGCTACACACCCCCAACCCTGTTTGTTACTTTTTGATACTATCTTTACTAACAAGAAATCCAACAAAAATACAATTCATGTTTTTTAAATACTCAAATTAGGCACTTTTAATTCTGAAAGATATTAAATAATGCTCTGTATTCATTATTTCACTCCACAAATATTTAGCAAGTGTCCATGTGTACCAGGCCTTTTCTAAGCAGTAAGTTAGGAAGAAGAGTAGTAAGTTAGGAAGCATCTTGTCTTAGTGGAGCTCATGTTCTATTCGATTGGCTCAAATCAAGCATGCTTTCATGTTAGAAAATTTCAAGCCTAGCGAAATCAAATAGCAGCTTGTAAAATAATTATCTCCACAAAAACTTAAAACATAGGTAAAATACTTACATAAATTCTGTCTTTACTATATCGAACTTTGATATTATGGAGAAGTGTGGCTTCATTTAAATACATTAGTGAACCTAGGAAATAAAATTTGTAGATCATTAGACAGTTGAAGAAAAACAAGTAAAAATAATATTATCTTTGGTGGAATGTGATGGACATCATTATCCAAAGTACATGTATGAAGACATGAATTGGTGTAAACATACTTGTATACAACCAGAGATATAAAAATTGTGCTCTATATGTATAAYATGAATTGTAATGCATTCGGCTGTCATATATAAATTTTTTTWAAAAAATCAATGAAAATAATATTATCTTAATCAGAATCACTGACTGACTCAAGTTAAAATTTAATTACTAAGTTAGATTTTATTTCATCTTTTTTTTTTTTTTTGGTGTGTGTCTGTGGTGCTGGTGATTGAACCCAGGGCTTTGTGCATGTGAGACAAGCACTCTACCGACTGAGCTATATCCCCAGCCCTAACTCCATCTTTTTAAAACTCAGAGGCTGATTTAAAGTAAATTTACTTTACATATGTGTTACATGATAATTTGTTTGTTTGTTTATTTATTTATTTATGGACCAGGGATTGAACCCAGTGGTGCTTAACTCCTGAGCCACATCCCTAACCCTTTTTATATTTTATTAGAGAYAAGGTCTCACTGAGTTGCTAAGTGCCTTCACTAAGTTGCTGAGGCTGGCTTTGAACTCATGATCCTCTTGCCTCAGCCCCCCAAGCCACTGGAATTACAGTATGCACCACCAGGCCCGGCTACGTGATATTTTTAAATGATGAATTTCAAACTAAGGGAGTACCTCTACTAAGTAGCAATGAATGTACACAGTGATGAAGGCTGATTAAAAAGCCAAGTAAAATTCAAGAGGAAACAATCACCCTCTAAAGAGCCCTGATTTTAATGCACTTTTTGACACAACAACATGAGACACTAATCCATTCTGATGCTCAGAATCTCACAGATAAAATATAAAAGATGAACTTTTAGACTGGTAAGGGCTCATCAGATGATTCTGTCAGTCCTTATAACTGGCATGATGAAATGTAAGTCCTAGAGAAATTATGTAAGTCTTAACCCAGAATATGAAGCTAATTCAGGATAAAATTAGGATATTCTTTTTTCCTGAGGAGTTTCCTTAGAATGGAATAGCAGCTTTCCTTCAAATTGAAGGATTTGGAGAGGGTTAGACTGCAAAGGTATATATATCTGGTATGGTTACTTGGTCATCTTTCTTTCTTTCAACTCCTCTTCCACTTTCATCTTCCAGAAGTCTAGCTTACACGTTTCATGTTTCTTCATTCAAAGTTCTCCACTGAACCACCATCTCTCATTTTTCTCTGAAATAACCTGGTCATAGGATATCATCTGCTTATTCTAAGTAAAAATTTCTAATCCTATAGTGTACCTTCCCTGGAAAGTTAATCCTATAAACTTGTACTGACGTGTGAATGAATGATTGCTAGCTCTCCTCTCTATCACCTGCCATACTCACCATCTTCCTTCTCAGGGATATCTGTTCGTTAAACCAAATAAATCCCCAATAGGTACCAAAGACAGTGAGAATTTGGACAGAAGAACCTTCTTAAATCACACTAGTCAGGCTATTCCATTTTCATGAAACATGGAGAGGAAAATATTTGCAACTCTCAGTTTGACAGAGTGAGAAATTCAAAGTCCCTACCACTTTTTACACCTCCCTGAAGGTGTGACCTAGAGATGTTCTTAAGGGTCCCAGAAATAGCTTCCTGAACCACCTGATTCCTTCTTACTTTCTTTTAGGAGTTAACCTTTGAGTTACTTGGTTTGGTTATTTATATGAAATCTTGTATGTGAACTGTTCACTTCTTATGCCTAATTATCACAGATATAACCATATTAAAAAAATATTAAAATTTTAACCAATATTAAAAATAAGATATGATAAAAGTATAAACAATTTCTTTCTTCATAAATATTTTGGTAGGGGTGGGGAGGAGACACCCCTACTGACTCAACTTCCAAAGTATATAATATCAAAAATTTCTAATGAAGAATAGTTACGACTTCATTATTAAATTTAGAGATATGACTAGAGAATTATGAGCATTTGAGATCCTGCTTATTCAATATAGCTCTAGTTCACTGAAAGAAAAAAATAGGAAGTCACAAACAATTTCAACACAATTGAAGTCAATCCAATTCTAGATTTATATTATTGTAGGGGTCATTCCATGACTGAAAAAGAGACTGAATAAAGTAATTTTGAGGATTATTTCCAAATGTATACTCTATACTTAATTATTCTCAACACCTGACAGGTCATATTCATGAAGAATATTATATGTCATGTAAGTAATAGTAGCTTAAAATCAGCATGAAAATATGCTATTATTTTCTTTATGATTACTGACTTCACATCCCTGAATTATTTTCCTATTCTGGTATTAATGCCCAAAAATCAAATAAAAAATGCAAAACAAATATACTAATCCCTACATATAAAACTCTTTACATAGAAAACTTAGGGCTAAAAATAGATAATTAATTTTGTTAAACTGTTGGGGCACTATCAAAAGACAATATATACTTCTGTTTTAATCAAATGCTTATCACATAGTTCAGAATAGACATCAACATTTATAATTACATTATCACTATGATATATTAAAAAGGAAAGGATTTTTGATATATGCATTTGAGAYTCTAAGAAAATATCAATGTCATTTGGAAAGGATAGCAGTATGGTGACAAGGCACGATAAAAGAACTAAGTGGAGGAAGCACTTCAGCTGGAAAACYTACACTCAACAACCTAAGCTGCATTAATGACAGTGCTTCAGAAAAAGGACTTTGAATAGGCTACTGTACCATGAGAACATTTAACATCCACATCGTGCAGGGGCAAGAGGCAGCAAATCCATACTAAGGTCAGGGAAATTTAAAAGCAGGTCAAGTATATCAAGGTGAAGTAAAAAATGGAAGAATATTTTAAGAAATGGATTTTAAAGCTGGGCACAATGGTGCACAGCTATAATCACAGATACTCAGAAGGCTGTGGCAGGAGGATCACAAATCTAAGGCTAGCTTCAGTAACTTAACAAGACTCTGTCTCACCATTGTCTATCTGAAAACGTGTGCTTCCTCTCTTATTTGCATTCACTTTATTAAAATATGACTGTTTTTTGTGTAACATAAAAAAGACTGTCTCAAAATAAAAATTAAAAAAGGACTGGGGTACATCATTTATAACCAGAAGAATGAGAAATTATACTCCATTATATATAATGTATCAAAGTGCATTCTACTGTCATGAATAACTAATTAAAACAAATTTTTAAAATTATTTTTTAAAGGACTAGGGATGTAGCTCAGTAGTACAGTGTTACTGAGCTCAATCCCTAGTATTGAAAGAAAGAAGGAAAAGAATTAAAATATTCAAATTCATATGATATGATATATGATCTGTGTAACTCTACATCATGCAGAATCAGATGAATGAGAAATTTTACTCCATTTATGTATGATGTGTCAAAATACATGCTACTAACATGTGTAACTAATTAGGACAAATTTAAAAATAAAATATTCAAATTCATTGATTTAAGTGAAAAAAATTTAATATATGAAAAGGATTAATTCCTAGTTCTACATACCCTAGCAAATTTTAACAGATATAAATTTTCTCTTATTTTAGATATGGTAGGTATTCCTGCTTTTACTTTCACTTTATTGTTCAAAAATGCATATCTCATGAGACATACTCTCCAGAAACTTTGGAAAGGAAAGGAACTGCACATTTTTTCCTTGACCTTTGTACCTAATAACAGTTATCATTTAATGAGTCTGTCAGAGGTCAGATACTATGGCAAGCATTTAAAGTATGTAATCTCTAAACAAGCAACATATAATTATCACTCCCATTTTATAGATGAKAATCTCAAAAAGAGTGAGTTGCCATGGGCACATAAGCTTCATGACTGCATAGTCAGAATCAGAATTCAGCCCTGCCTGACCCCATTGCCCAAGGTTCTTCTAATACTACCACTATCCAAGGATAGCACTATTTATATATGGGGTACTACCCCTATTTACAGTTCTCACTCAATAGTGAACTACAATGACCATCAGTAAGAACAAGTCTATTCATTTATCATTTTTTCTTAAAATAGAGTTTTTAATGTCAGGTAACATTAARGAAACCCATGATAAGTGGATATGATCCCTAAGTACTGTCTGCACTGATGCAGTTTGCTTATGGAATGTCCCCCCAAAGACTTATATATTAATGGCTTAGTGCTCTGCTTGGTATTATCAGAAGATGGTAAAACTTTAAGAAGTGGGGCCTCTCCAGTCTTAGGTCACTGGAGATGCGCCCTCAAAGCAGGCAACAGGCCCTTCCTTGGTCTCTTTGCTTCCTGGCTGTTATGAGATGAGCAAATTCTTCCACCACATGCTCCAATCATGATGTGCCTCCTCACCAAAGGCCCAAAAGCAATGAGGCCAACCATGAACTGAAACCTCCAAAACTGTTAACCAAAATAAATCTTTTCTCTTAAGTTGATTGCTCAGGTATTTTGTTAACAAGAAAACTAACATATACCCTTTCTCAAAAAATTAAAATATGAGATTTTAATTAAAATATACTTCTTAATGTTGAAAATGTAAGAATAAAGGTCATCTTGTTGAAGTATTTATCGCTGGATAAAGGTCATCACCAAACATGTTCAAGTATTTATAAGTTAAATTAATTTTTGTTTTAATATAATTTTCTGAAGTAAATTTTTCTGTARGTAGTTATTATATATTTTTTAATGTTGCTTTGCTTCAAGGAGTGATATTAATGATTCCCACTGACTCAACTTCCAAATTACTGAACCACTATAAAAATCACCTGACTCTAGATAAATTTCAATGACTTTTAAGATTTAACAAAACACCTTTAGTTCCAGCTTCAGAGTAAATTATTACCATTCCTTACATGTGCACAACTGAAATAACACTAAAAAGACACTCAAGAGACTCTTTCACCAAGTGTTCATCTGCAGCAACAATGAATTTAGGACTTCAGAGCTCCTCTATTCAGATGAACCTTCAAGTAAAAAAGCTACATTTTTTTTTCCTAAACCAGTAGTTTACTAGTAACAAAACCACTCATTTATTTCATGGAAGAATAGTTTCTGTTTCTGTGTTAACATTAATTTTTAACTTCATACTTACAATTATCTTCCACATCTTTTTTAYTGTCCTCTTCTGCAGGGAATACTTGGTTTATGAGAGCCAAAAATGTCTAACAAGCAAAACAAAAGCTCATTAAACTTGAGGCTGATTCATAGTAAGAAAAGTAAAGGAGTTTAACTGGTTGCATATATTGTAATGGCAAACAATATGTTCTTTATTAAAATATAATGCAGCTACTATTTAACAAGGCATTAACCCCAAAATAGGATAATGACTGCTTAAAAATATTATTCATTATTACTATGGGATGAGAACCAATAATGGAAACCAGTAAGTAAGCATCACAAGCTCTTACACTCAGAGTGGGACAAAACAACAAGTACATTAACATTAAATGTAACAGACATGCTATTTAACATCTTCAAAAATAAAAAAATTTATGTTTAAACTTACAATTCTTATGTAGGAATATGTAGGAATTTTAATGTTTTAAAAAGKAAAAGGTAACATTCAATAAGTTGTGACAAAATAAACTATTATTTAATTAATATTATTTGAGTAAAACATATTTGACACAGAGTCCTATATAAAAATACATCAGAAACATAAATAGTCCCAAAAAATATTTAGACCATAAAATTACAAATATCCATAAATAAACCTGCATTTATTTATCACTTAAATGCTATGGTAGACACAGCAGAATTAAGATAACATCTTGTAAGAGAGAACAAATGATCTCAAATTACATCTAAAGAGAATTGTTTTAAATATATTTATTTATTTATTTTTATGTGGTGCTGAGGATCGAACCCAGTACTTCACATATGCAAGGCAAGTACTCTATCACTGAGCCACAACCCCAGCCCATGAATTAAATTTTAAACCAGGATATTCTAACAGTTATTTATAAATTTATGTCTCTGAACAACTACAATTACTCTTGGGGTTGAAGTTTCCAACCACATCAAATAAAACTTTAAAGGAAAATGGTACAATTATTTTAAAATAATATTTTAGTAATAGAGTATGTATTTCAAGGTCAAATAATATTTTAGTAATAGTGTACTTCAAGGTAGAGTTCGATCCCAAGCACCAAAAAATAATCATCATATTTGTAGATCTGTATGTGTGCTTGTGTATATTGTACTAGACAAGGGTATCACTGTAGTTTACGGAGTAAAATCCAAGCTGCAAGGACTATTTCAATTCAAAGTCATGTCTAACTCAGAAAATTGTTATATGCTCTAAAAATTCTAGAAGTTAATTATTTAAAAACTAGTACACATATTCTCAATGCTATAAATGTGGAAAATTTTGGAAGAATGACATAATTATTCTACAATGTGAATTAAATAATCTATAATGTGAATTAAGTATAAGAATGGCAATTAAAAAACAACTCTAATATATAACTAATTCTATAGAAAAACACATTCAGAAATAACTGCTGGTGTCACAGAACTAAGGGCTCACTTGTTACAGCCATGGCAACAAGGGCAAGAACTCTCCATACTCCAGGGTTAAGTTCTATCCTGACAGTAGTTATGCCAAATAAAAAAGATTCCAGGAAGTTAGAAGAGGGGGCATGGAAACTTGAGGGGAGTGGGGAAACATAGTTACAAGAACATTAAGGGCAGGTAAAATGAGTCCTGAAAGGTGGTTTTTCTCCCTCCTTCTTCATCCTCCAAATTATCAACCAGCCCCCAATTTTCTTCTCTTCTGTGAGGAAAAAAAAWTTTTTTTCTCTATCAATTTAATTGCTTTCTCTTAAAAGGAGGAGGTTTTCTTTTCCTAGTAAAAGATTATGTAACAAGTACACATTGATCATTCAGCATWWAACACCAACCACACAGCAATCCGGTGCATCAAGCTCCAACGACAGAAGAGAAGAATAAAATAACTCCTGTACTTGACAATACAGAGTGGAGAGGGGGAGACCAATGGAAACTATTCTTTTAAATCAAAATTACAGGAGCACTAAAAAGTTATACCAATCCTCAAAGGAAAAAAGCAATCAATAGTTAATTCTATTTCATGGGAGGGAAAGATTGCATATATGTGGAAAGTTTTTATGGAGAAGCTGACCTCAATTAGAGTCCTGAAAAACAAATAAGCATTTGCTAAGCATGTAGTTATAAAGAGTGGCATTTCAGGCAAAAAAAAAAAAAAMCATGAGTAATGAAATAAAGCACACAATACCACCAGGTTTGTTGTGAGGACTTGATAAACACCTGCAGAAGGAAAGGGCAGAAGAGAAGGAGAAACACACACACAAGAGTAAGGCAAGAGTACGGAGAGAAAACTGCTGTTGACAAAATATAAGACCAATAAAGAGGACAGGGAAAAGAAAATATTTAGGACTTTGGCTTGAAGGCCAGTCTGCTGTAAATATGGAACATGAATTCAATTTAAGGTGTTAGGATACCATTTTTAGCAGAAAAATGCATAGCATGTGCCAAGGAGGTTTCATTTGATTAACACTTTTTTAATGAAAACATTCACACAAAAACACACATACTACATATACCTGTTAACATATTAAGATCTATTTCTTATAAATTCAAACACACACAATATACATACCTAATGCAATGTAAAATCTATTTCTTACTATGAGTCACAAATGAAAAACTTGAAAACCATTGCTCTTATCCAAACTGTGTTCCCCATGAAAGCTGACCCTCTCCCTCCTCTATGCCTCCACTGCACTAGCACACAGTAGACTGGACTGGTTCATTGCTTCATGCAATTAATTTCTAATAACATTTATGTAAGTTAAAGATTACTTTTCCTATAGATATCTTAAAGCATTTGTATTCCACTTAATGATTTATTAAGACCTTAATTACACAAGGGGAAAATGAAGACTAAAAGTAATCTCTAAGAATTTGTTAATGCTAAAAAAAATTATGTGAAAAAAAAAATTTAGTTTATAGAATTATCTACATATCTCTAAAATTTACATGCCTTAATAATTTAAACCATGTCTTTATTGGTTCTACATATGTATCTCATTAATACTAATAATGCACAGTTTAAAGCACATTAAAATATTTAAAATATAAAAAAGCATGTGCCCATAAATAAAGTTTCTACTGTACTTTGAACTGAATTATTTTGACACCTGCAGATGTAACAATATGTATTACCAKAACATACATAATAAATACTTTTCTTTCTGATTTACTGTTTATAAAATGTTAAAAAGTAAAAGCTTTCAAATATACAAAATAATTGAGCCATTAAAATTTTTTTCATTTTGTAAATGTACTACATTATAAGTAAAAATAGGTGCCTGTTAATAAGAGAAAAAATTAGAAACACTTTGCCTTTCCTTCCCTCAAGGTATCTTTAATTGGCCTCCTCTAACATGGCAACATTATGTATTATGCATTTCGGTTCCTGGGTTGTTTACAGTAACAGAATAGTTTTCTCTCTGAAAAGACCTCATGAGAGATCCACCTTGTTTTTCTAAAGTTCCCAGAAGGATGGCAGTTATATGGCATTAGTTAACTGTGTATCWGTAGAATATAAATTATTCATGAACATTTGCAGAGTCTAAAGTAAACAGAGACGACATCCAGAAGAAATGTTTAACAAGAATATTTGTTAAATTGAAAACTGTGAAGCTCTCCCACAAAAACAGACCCTACTAGTACTCATGAAGACTGCAAGACAGATTATTTACAATGAATACCTTCTCTATGAGCAATCCCAACTCTTGGTCACTGTTTTCCCACACTTCTATTTGGTAATATTATCTAGCCCATGCCTAAGCATAAAAGCAAACAGGGGCTGGAGTTGTGGCTCAGTGGAAGAGTGCTTGCCTAGCATGTGTGAGGCCCTGGGTTCGATTCCCAGCACCACATGTAAATAAAATAAAATAAAGGTCTATCAACAACTAAAAAATATTTTTTAAAAAAAGCAAACAGCATGTGCACAGAGCTAAAGCATATTTTTAGGCTATCATTATCACAAAAATAATAATAGATGGACAGATTTAAGACTAAAGTATTTGCTTTGTAGAAATATATTCAAATACCATGCCAATAAGTTCAAAAGAAGCCTTTTAAAAAGATTTATATAGGGATGGGGATGTGGCTCAGTAGTAGAATGCTTGCTTAACATGCACAGGGTGCTGGGTTCCATCCCCAGCACCACAATAAATAAATAAACAGACAGACAGACAAACATATAGCCACATGTCTATAATCCCAGCAACTAGAGAGGCTAAAATAGGAGGCTCTCAAGTTCAAAGCCAGCCCCAGCAACTTAAAGAGGCCCTAAATAAAAAATAAAGGACTAAGAATATGGCTCAGTGGTTAAGCTTCCCTGAGTTCAATTCCTAGTACAAAAAAAGACTTATAAAGAAGGCTAGCACAAGAAGCAAAAAATTAATAACATAACTCAATTTGCATTCATTTTTTACTTTATAACATGCTGAATACATCACATAGAGACTAATAACTTTAGTAATATGGTATAAGAAATAAAATGTTATTGTTTATATTTTATCACATAGCTATTTAAGAATGTGATTACAAAAGGCTCATTACATTTTTGTCTGATTTTGTCACAGGACACCATTTTCTCCTAGGAATATTTCTGATTTCCTTTCCCTTTCATTTTTACTATGCCAAGAATATTTAGTTCATTAAGAAAGACACTATCTCTTTTGAAAAAAAATAGCTATTTTTTTAAAAAATCACATTTTGAAATCTTTCTGAGAAACTCACCTTGCCTTTTTGGTTCAGGGGTTCAATAGTTAAGCTGTCAGGGCCAATATCCACAATATTGCCCATCTGAAATCCATCTGTAGGGTGTGGTGCCCAAACGGGCTTTCCATCCTCCATTTTTGAAGGGGCTTATCCACTATCTCCTGTTTCAAAAGAACAAATAAGGCAACATTAATAGTTTTAGAAACATAAAACAAATAACATCTATTTTTAAAGTTTACATGTAAATCGTGACTGGCAGAAATATTCCAGACAACTTTCACCTTCTACCCATCTTTCTGTTTTCTGCCTGCTTTAGCCATCCCTAGGTAAAGCCAGGCAGAGGCTGCCTGCTACTGCCTGCCTCCAGCTGTGCCTGCAGTAGAGTACCACATTTTGACCAGTACAGAAAMAGGAAAAGGTCATAGGTTTTACCTATGGTCCCAACATAATTTATAATAACATTCCCTTTTACTACGTAAATATTCTCATTTGCACAACATAAGTAGTCATCAGAGGAATACATATTATGGTGTAGAGTTAGCTGGAAGTTGAAAAAGAATTAATTTTGGGTCTGAAGAAATAAAAAGAGAGACTACTTCCTCTGGGCTTTCCTAACCTCTGAGATTGCAGGTACGTGCTCTGTACACTCATCATCATAGAAGTATTCAGCATACTGATTTTGTTGTAATTTTCTCTTTTCTTTTAACTGAGATAAGACTTACGCTCAGTGAAATGTACAAATCTAAGTATACATGTTGATGAGTTTAGACAAATGTATATACCCCATTTGACAAATGCCTTAGTCAATATATATGACATTTCCATCACCTCAGAAAGTTGTCTCATAACTCCATTTGGTCAATCCCTGTCTCCATAGACATCCCTATTGTTGTTACCATTTTTGCCTGTTTTTGAACTTCAAATGAATGAAATCATACAGCATGTATTCTTTTGTGTCTGGCTCCCTTCATTTAACAAAATGTTTTGATATTCAACATATTCAACCACATTGTGATGACTAGTCCACTGAATGACTGTCCCACAATTACCTGTTATCCTTTTGATAAACACTTCAACTGTTTCTAGTTTTTGCCTAGTGTGAATTTCAATYGCATGTTTTAATTATTCCTATAAGGCTTCTTTCATACTTGGCATTCTGTTTTCAGCATCTCAGTAAGAATTAATTTTTTCACTATGCATCATAATGTTCCTCTTGTGTGATGTTCTCAAATCTGGGATCCTAATGTGGATACTCTCAGATGTAGCCTCTCATGAGAGTCAAGGACGTTTAACAAACAGTTCAGTCAAAAAATCATTATTAACATGTTTGCAATGTGCTTATTGATTAATATTTTCAATTCAGTGGCTACAGCATGAGCTGTTTTCCCCATTCAGCAAATGCTATTAGATTAGCATGTAAATCTGAGTTAACAGATAAAGATTCTCCAAAGACATGAATCAACAACATCACTTCAGACTTTTATCACAATAGATGTGTAAGTTCTCCCTATAAACTTATATAGTCCCATGGCTTTAAATACCATTTATATGTGAGTGATGCCCAAATTTATTTAATCAGTTCAGACCTCTGCTAAATCCCCAGGTGTCTACTTGCTTTTTGGGCACCTCCTCATGAATTTATCTAACAGATATATTATTATAATGTTATTATTACTCTGGTCTACCACCTCAGCTTATTCTCTCACATATCAGCAAATGTAGGAATAATACTCAGCTCAAATCAAGCCTGGAGTCATCCTCAATTCCCCTAACTCCTTCTAAATTTTTACCGTCCTCTATTCAAAGTGCTCTACTACTGAACCACATCCCCACCACTTACCATGCCCTATCATGTCAGCTTTCTCTCCAATAGGCATTTCAAATCTACCCACTTCTCTGCAAATCCTCTGCTACCCTAGTCAAAACTAGGGTATACCAAGCTGCCTGCTTCTACTCTCGCCACTCTACAAACAGATCACTGGTAATCTTACTGAAAGGTAAATCTTCATACGGTCATTCTTGTTTCTTCAAGAGATAGATTATTCCTCTGTATGCTCCTATGGCCCAGCACACACAAGCCCCAAAGTCACCAGTGAGTGAATTAACTATTCACAGAGTTTCAGAAAAAGTAAAACAAGACAGTTGATTAGAAAGATTTGAATGCTCTTAAAATCTAGACTTGAAATAGCTCCACCACTCTCTGGCTCTTACGCAAGTTATTTAACCTCTCTGATCATTATCTTTATCCTTGTCCATATGGTGGGATAATATCACTTACCTTACAGAATTGCTGTAAGGATTAAATGACATAAAACTGAGATCACCATTCTAATGGCACTCAATAGATGCTAGCCACATCTCTTTCCCTTCCCTCCTTCATATCCTACGTTTGAAGCCACTAATCAATTTTAAGACAAGGATTCTATGGTAGTTCTAAACACAAAGGRAAACTATAGAAGAGTCATCAATGATCATTTGGGAATAACTCTCTGAAAATAAAATCTTAAAAAATTAAAAATCAAAACTAAAGTCCAAAAAAGGAATGGCAAATTCCCTTGAACTATTCAAACTGCTTTCCCATTTCTAATATAAGGAAGACTAGGTGAAAGTTGAAAAAAAAACAGATCTCCTGACACTAACCACATATGCCATTCACATTTCTGTGCAAAACCTCCAACCCCTTCCTTGCCAGAAGTTGTTTAGAGGTTATTCTCTAGAAAAGATGAAGACCTCTGGGCTGATAATTACCAGCAACAATGAAGAGTGTGCATACAAAAACTGGTGCACTACTCCAGTCCATTCCAGGTCTGCATAGCCTACTTGTAGCAAATATCCTCCTAAGTTAGACAGAATCCACTAACTTAGATATAAATTCCTTTTTCCTACACTTGAATTATGCACCCCCCTCATTTCATATGTTGAAGCCTCAACCCTAATTGTGATTCAGGGTGATATTTAGAGATAAGTCTTTTATGTAGTAATTATGGTAAAAAGAAGTCTTAAGATAATCAGAGAGGAATGGTGGTTTTACAAAAACAGAGAAAGACTCTCTCCATGYACATGCACCAAAGAAAAGCCATATGAACATACAGAGAAAAGGAGGCTACCTACAAGCCAGAAAGTGCTTTTATAGGAATCCAACCATGATCAACAACTGATCTAWTTTCCAGGCTCTAGAACTGTGAATAAATGAATTTCTGTTGTTTAAGCCACCCAGTCTGCAATACTTTGTTATGGTACCCAAGCAGACTAACACACCACTGCAATAATCCTAAACATCCCTTAACATTTTAATAAATATCAGAATTTTCCTTTAACCACATAGTAATAGAAATAAAATATTCATTGGAAGGATAAAAAAAAGACCTTCCAATCTTTCAGAAAGATGGGTAAAAAGAAAATGAAGTAGGGGAGATATGAAAATAAGTAAAAAGAAAGCCTCTAGCTTGCCAAAATAGAGAGGAAGCTTTGGAATAGCCAAAGAAAATCCACCAAAATTGAAAGATGTGATTTTTCTAAAGTCTAGCCAAAATATCCACTGAGTCCTCAGAACAAGCAAGAAGATACATGCAAAAAGACACCACTGTCAAATTTCCAAACACCAGAAATAAAGAAAAGATGCTACACATTTTGAGAGAGATGAGGGGAAAAGGTCAGAAAAAAGGTCATATCCAAAGATTATAGATCAGATTAGCTTCAGCAACAAAATAGCCTATAAAGCAATGCTATAAAAATTCTCAAGGAACAATATCTCCAACCCAGAATTGCACACTTAGGCAAACTACCAGTACAGACTAGAACACTCTGACCCAAGAGCTATCCACTGCCCCTGGACTAAGTGGATCTGGCCAAACTACTTATCTTAGCTTGCCTTATGACTATGTAGTGATAATGTATCAAAACCTAGAAGGAGTCACAAATACTCACATCCACTCCCATTAAATTAAATATTATTTCATATATAGTGCAAAGTTTTCACTAGGATAAATCTCTTTTTAAATAAGTCTTCAATTTAGTTGTCTTGGGAATTAGTCGTTTTTGGAATCCTAAATATTTACACTGTAATATATTATCCTTCATTAATGAAGGCTGATTTATTTATCCTATCAAAGAACACAGAATTCTTTCAGATATGTTACTTTCTGGTTCCAGAAAATCTTAAACCCATGCAATCAACACTCATTCTTACTAAACATATCTGCATATGAAGAATACTTAAAAGACACTGTAAGTAAGTTGTAAAAGGATAATCTCATTTTCCTACTATCCTACTTCCAGTAGTACTATTCCTACTGGAAGTCTTGAACACATTAAAGGCTAACTATAAGTGCACTGCAGGAATACTAAGGTAGGGGATAGGGGTGAGATTAGTTAAGGAAATTTAAAATTCCTAAAATTCCTAAAGTTATTCTACATAAAAGAGGGAAAACTAAGACAAAACCCCATCATCAACTGAAAATCAACTAAAAATTACCTCATTTTTGCTACCTGCTTGACAGTTGATACTATATTTTTTAAATAAGCACTCTAGTAATCTATAAAATACTCTACAAAAGCTCTATGTAATCTATAGAAGGCAATCTGTAGCCTATGCTAACTATGCTAACTTTTCATTTATTCTTTGTTGAAAGGTAAAAAAAGCTGTCACCAGAAAAATCCCTAAGGAGCAAACTTATTGGAAGTAAAAGTGACAAATACAAACATATCCATGTTTTCCCCCCCCCTCTGGACTCCAGGAAAGATCATAATAATGTCCCTAAAACATAGGCAGAATGGGCAGATTCATACAAAACATGAGCCATCACCTGCATGTCCCCATTACCTTCAAAGATTCCCCTTTAAAAAGATAGTTGTGATATATTACACCATATACTGTATTAGTTAGGTTATTAAAATTTTTGAGTGGCAGCTAAAAAGGAATTTGGGGATACGCTAAAAGAACTAGAATAATATACTAAAAAGGAAGAAATAAGTATTATACAAGGCAAGCACACACTTCCAGAACTGCCTTATAAGTCATTCTTTCCCTTAATTACTATTTAGTCACCTACTACATACCATGTAATGCTAGGTACTGAGAATATAATGGTGAGCAAAAAATAATCAGGTATCTGGCCTCAAGGAGCTTTCTATATAACAGGAAAATCACCACGGGAATAAA